CGGGGCACACCCCAGCACGTGGGGGGAATTCTCAGGCCTCCTGCTCCCCGGATTTGGGGACAGGGCGAGGGGACGTGTCGCGCAGCCCCCCCGCCCCTGCCCGCCCTCCGCCACGTCCCGCGGCGCTGGCTCCGCTGGGAAAGCGCAGCTCTGGAGGGAGGCGAGAGACGGAACCTCAAACGCCTCTGCAAGGAATCAGGATTTCGTCGCTGTGCGCAGGGCAGGGATCAAAGCACAGCAAGAGCCCTCCCAGCACCGGGAGGAAAGGGGCACAGCGTGACATGGCACAGCATGGCTGAGATGACCAGCAAAAACTCATCTAGTTCCTTCTTGGTCAAGGTCAGGGAGGGGAGGTCGGTGCTGCCTACGTGGTGTCAACATGCAGGGTGCTGTGGGGTCACCCCCTCCATCCCCCCTCCGTGCCCCTGTGTCCCACAGCAGCACTGCTGGCCCTGCACAGCACGGGGGGACAGTGGCCCTGCTCACAGGCTCAGCTATTGCCGGGGTCACATCATCACTGGCAGAGCTGTGGGTGGGGGCTGGGGCCAGGGGACCCCAGCCCAGGGCTGCCAGGGGCCTCAGCCAGCGCCAGCAGAGGAGCCGTGTGTCCCAAGGGGAGTTTGGGGCTGAGGAGGGGACGCGGTGCCCAGGCGCGTGTCAGAGCAGGGCGGAGGCCCCACGGGCCCTGTGCCACCCTTGCCCGCCTCGCTGGGAAGATAAACAAGCCTTTGCCCCCCGGCTGTGACGCCGGCGCTGGGCACAGCGCTGCCCCAGTCCGGGTGCCGGTGCCGCCGCAGCCCAGCGGGATGGCAGCCCCTTCCTCAGGTGGCTGTGACCCATCGGTGACAAACCCAGCTCCTCCCGAGGGATGGGACAGGACAGCCCCGCCCTGCACAGGGTGTCACTGCCTGCCCCTGGCTCTGCCCCAAGCCCTGCCTGTGGGTCTGGGGGCTCAGCCCCATCCCAGGGCCCAGCCCACTGCGGGGATGGCAGAGCTGGGAAAGCCCTGGCAAAGGGGAGCTGCGGGGCGGGGCAGGGTGCGGTGCTGGCAGCCACCCTAACACCCCCTGCCTTCCCTTCCCTCCCCTGGGGCGAACGCGCTGATTCAGCCTCTCGGTTTCAGTCCTGGCCGCCCACTTC